GGATGTCGGTGTGGATGTGGATGTGCGTGTGGGTGTGTTTTGGTTGTGGATGTGGGTGTTCACGAATAGTGTACTCACACTCACAGTCTCACCAACATTCACACTCACATCTCATCCACGCACACCCACATCCACAACCAAAACACACCCACACGCACACCCACATCCACAACCAAAACACACCCACACGCACATCCACATCCACACCGACATCCACACCCATACCCCACACCATCAACAAAGCGAAATAAATAAATATTGAAAAGCGGAAAGCGTTGGTCAATGATCATATTCGACGACACATTGAACAACATTACATGTTTTTTTTTCAATCGCAGTCAAACGTTCTATTCTTCGTCGACGGAAAAGGTTTGGAAGAAAAAAAAAGCCAAATGATATATACATATATGTGTCAGGCGAAATTGAGCTTTCGGGAAAATTAAACCTAATTCTTAAAAAATTTTCAAATTTAAAATAATTCAAAAAACAAATAAATAGATAATTGATTTTCTATATTTAAATTGAGTTCAGCTGAAGTTAAATTCAAATTTATCTAAATTTTTAAACTCAACAATTTTCTCGATACTTTTAATGCAAATCTAGAGAATTTTTTGTAAGATGTTGAGTACACCGCTTTTTTTAATGTAAATCGAAACAATATTCTATATTACAACAACTAACTCGAAAAAAGCATGTAGAGAAAATAATAGAACGTTGTTTTCCTGAATAGATATGGCCAAGTACCACAATCTTGTGTCAGATCCAAGTATAATATTGAGAATGCCATTATATATCTTTCAAAATGATTCCATCATGAATTTCGTATAGAACAAAGATGGGTTGTATATATTCGCATTTCGATTCGAAACAATACTATAACCTTCTTATTTGTTTTTTGAACAATACGTGACATGAACTTAAGCTATGTATCTAATTTCTGCAGACAAAGTGTATTCACATGTTCAATTTCTTGTTTCCATTTTATATTCTGCTGTAGAACATTCGGAATTTTTTATATACCCAAAAGATAGCACATATAGAATATGCGAACCTAATGAAGTAGCTAATGGTACTGATAACAAGCTCAGAAACTCATTTTCTGAATCAATATTCTGAATTATTTTAAGTTTGAAACTCATCTATTTCGTATAGAAAACACTGAATTTACAAAATATACTGAAAACTATTACAGAAGATTCTGATGAATGCATACAATTATAAAATTGTCCTAAATTGCAAAAGTCTTATTTCTTTTCAAAAATTTTTTTGTAATGTGAATGCTACGATTCAACTGTCTATGTATAGAAAAATGTGCTCCTTCGGAATATTGTCACTATAGAATTACTTTTCATTAGTTGCTTGAGACAATTCATTGTATGTTTTTAATTTTATTAAACACTAAAAACACAACAACTAAAACTTTCAAATGACTCTTGAAAGATTCATAAATTTTCAGTTGTGAGTATCGTAATAGATTTCCTTGGTAATATATGATATAGCAGCACAGGAAGCGACAACCTACAAAGACTTAAAACAGAAAACTATGTACAAATGTAGTTATACAATCAAGCCATGTTCGATTTCATCATAGAAAGTATTTAGAATAATGGGATATAGTCAAGTATTAAATGTAGGTTTTATTTCATTCATTTTTTGTTGTAAAACACCAGCTGGCATTTGTGGTGCAACTCTTTCATTGTTTCTCTTACATATAACCATTGCCAAGAATTCTCGTCGAAATTCTTCAAGTGTAATCATGTATAACGGAAATGATAATATATGATAAGTGTAGAGAATACCATCCAATAAATGTAAAAGAGTAAGATTCGATTCGTAAAAGAATGCATAACATACAGTTGCTGGTATAGTCATAATAAGAAACAGAAATGTTGTAATGACCAGCGCAATTGAAATAGATCGATGCTGAATACGTGAATTTTGCACAATAGTTGTACGACGAAGACGAAACAAATGGTAAATTACACCAATATTAAATGTAACCATCAATACAAATGGTGCACAGTTGTATACAGCCAAATTAATATAATCCCATAGTGGATATATTTGAAAAGCTAAAAAAAACACACTAATTGTACCATTTGCTCTATAATAACAAGCAAAAATGAAAAACTGAAAGTTAAGAAGAAAAAGAATGATCATAATGCATGCAATATTGATAAGAACATTTTTTGATTTGCTAAACCATGTTCGATGAAGAAAACTTGATGATAAATATCGATCAAGAGAAACAAAGACGCGAAGCCAAGCTGATGATTGAGCAGCAAAATAATTCAGAAAGGAAAAAAATCTGCACATTGGTATTGATAATCTTTGAAGAGTAAATCCATGTATCGGAGCAAGATAATGATCTAAGTTCCATCCGTACAACATAAGGATATCAAAGATGGCCATTGCTCTCATATAATGGAGTGTTGGTCTCGTTCTTGTGTTTCTAAATGTTGATCGACATAGAATAGTAAATGTGATAATATTCAGTAAAGTGCCCACAATCACCAATGTGAACGCATAGTAGCCGACAACCAAATCTTCTGATGAGAGCTGGGTATTTGCTATCACTGTTGTATTAATAATCGACATTATACAATATATTTGTAATTGTTGAAAATGACTTTGGTAAAGTGACGAATAGATCTATACGGAAAAGTTGCATTAGAATTTATTCAAATTCTTGTTCTACTTAGTAATCCCCTGAAAAAACCGGTCTTAGGTAAGGGATATTCAAGTCGAATGAAATTTTCCGAATATGCTGAGTGTGCGATGAGATGAGTATGATGAAGTTTTCAACAATATAAAATAATATTTTCAGAAGATATTCAGCGAATAAGGCTAAAAATTAATGTTCTTGCTAGCAAAAATTCTTTATGAAACTTCATTCTACAAGGTGGGTAACGCTATAATTTTATATAGAGTATGGAATGAATTTTTTACCAAATGAAAGCTTGTCACAATATAATTTATTACTACTAAATAGTAAGGGTTATTCAAAGTTTTTAATGACGAGCTTACTAAATTTTCAAAAATTTTATCTCATAAAACACTCAAATAAATTAGACTCTAATTGCAAGGATCGTCTTTTTTGTATTAATAATAGAGCTACATTAAAAAAAGTACTCCAGTCAGATCTACATATTGTCATGCTTTTCAATAGAAAAAGAAGTCAGTAGCTATAATGAAACTCTTTCGAGAAATCTTTCGTACGTGACCAAAAATGGATTAAACAAAGAGAAATAGAAAAGAATTTCCTTCTCTCTCTAATAATCGCATAATTGCCAAGAATAAAATAGTACAAACTTTGGAAAAAAAATGGCATGCCTAATATAAAGCTAAATCTCATTTATTAAAGATCAGATAGCACAATATTTGCTCATACATTTATATCATTTTTAACGAAAAGTGACATTGTCTTGAATGGAAAGTGTGTATACTTGACGTCGCCTAGGTTTCCTTTCTTGTAATTATGCATTCATCTATTGACCTTTGCAAATGACTTGACTGTCTATAGATTTCTCTTAGTCATTTCACTTAGTGTTTATTTATCTTTCTCTTGTAAGCTACAATGCTTTATTTTTCATTATTATCAATCTCGCTTCATTATACATCTCATTTTTGCCACTGACACTCTTCTCATTAACCATTTCTTTATCATATACATCCTTACATCGCTATTAAAGCTTCTTTCCGGCTACTATATTCAGTTCACTATTTCTTCATCTATTAGGGAGTGCGCTAACAAGCTTTTTGTTCATCATTTAATAACATATACAATTCTTATTGTATGGAGCAGAGGAAAGAGAAAAGAAAAGAAAAGAAACACAACAATAATAAGAGCAGTAAAAAAAAGACAATAAAAGTAGAAAGGTATCAAGAGACAAAAATAATGATGAATTACTGCTAACACAAGTTGATCTACATTCATCCTCAAATCAATGTATCATTATTTTATCGTGTATCACCTTCTAGCGGCACATGAACTTAAATTTTGATGCATTTCACAAAACTTAATGAATCAGTGTTGATTGAATCTATCTGGCCTTTAAATGATAATGTTGATTTTAGAGAATAATATCTACACTAATAATAGTTCGATTCTGGACATTTTCAAAAAAAAAAACTCTGAGTTATAAACGATAAATGACTAATCTGATTCGGTTCTATCTAGGTCGATCGAGGATTATTATAGATCATTCGAGACAAATTTTCTATTACTAACTGCTGAACGTTTATTGTGTTTTCGAAGAAATATTCAGATATGCGTATTCTTTGAAATCAATCAATTTTTATCGATATCTTGGATACAATTTTTATGAGAGAATCAAGTGTCAAAGTATTGTATGCGGTGAAGATACATGATAGTGCACCTATTATATTTCATTAACTAACATTGATATCAAGTTATGCTATCGAAATAGAGATAAACCAAGTTTGCATTATTTTACTTTGCCACAGATTTATTATTTTTACGCACTATTTATCGAACAGGCTTCCTATAGAGAGACGAGTCAATCTATTGAATATACCATTAGTTACTCAGCAATTTCCATTATGAATGACTACTTAGCCAGTGTACCAATTTTAAGAGTTAATACATGTAATTCAAAACGAATTCAACACAATCAAATATCCTAAACTTTCGAGCACACTTTAAGTTAGTATTTTTTAGAGCAATCTCTTTGTGAGATATTCTACATTATTCTTTGAAGAAAACCTAGTGAAAGTAAGATTCTATATTCTATTTCTTTATCAATCTTGGAATATTTCGTTCAAAAATTGTTTGAAAATTGCGAATATATCTATAGAAATCATCCATGATAAGGTTAGAAATTCTATCTATAACCAAAACTAATAGCTTCTATACGATAAATAAAATTTCACGCCCAAATAAGATAACTATTGCGCATCTGATTATTATTGCATGTCTCCACTCATATAGAAAGGATGATATAAAAAAAATCTGTAACTCAATCGAAATTTGTGTCCATCAATTATAACTCAATAGATAGAAAACTAACAGAAAAAGATATGAAAAGCGGGATAACGATCAAGCTTAATTTTTTTATCATTAAGGCAATGATTAATAAACATATGACGCATAGAGAGTTTGATTTTATTTCTATCAAGTGAGAAAACTTTAGAATAACTTATTCGAATATACCGGCATAGAATAGTAGCATTACCACATCAAGAAGAACTAAAATGTTTGCGAGTTTGCTTAGATAATTTTGAAATCTCATGTATATATAGCTACCATAGTTCTATTGAGTTTCATCTTGCAAAACTTCTCTGAAACACATCGAACTCGCATCTATGATAATCTCATTAGAGATATTAAAGGACTCTAATGCTTTTGGAAAATAAATATTCTGTTTCGGAATACATCTTTTTTTTATTTAATCTAAAATTGTTTATTTGAGATTAAGAGTGTCGACTTGGAATTACATTAAATAATGCTATTTTTAATACTTTTATAAAAGGATTTAAAAAAATAATTTTATACCTTTCTATGAGAATGAAAAAAAAAATAATGTTTATGTGTTTCCATTGGTATTAAGCTAGCATTAGTCAAATGTCAACATTGATTGTTTCCAAAACAGAACATGTTTCTTCTTTTATCAGCAACTATGAGTTTTTGAATTAGACCAATTAATAATTCATTTCTCCTGACGCAGTATTGAACTACGAATTCTTTTATCCGACAACAAAAGTATTAAATTAGTTTGTTTTTAATCTTAATACAATCTTGATACTAGTGCTAAGCCAGCATTCCTATAGTGTGTAAAAATAATATTCATATATTATTATTACTCAAGCTCTTATGAGCAGAAGTAGCTTTTTTTCAAATGTTCAAAGTTGTCACACAGATATCTAAGTGGTGTTGCAATATTTTCAAAATGACAAAATTATAATGACTCGAAAAAGTCAGAGACAATGTAGAATAGTGCTTGTCATTTAATGTATTAAAACGATTATTTTGCTTCTGTGAAAATGTTATAAGATGCAAGAATATATTATATATAACATAAATCAATCCTTTTACATTATTACTGACTGTTTCTCACTGTTATCATTGTGCCGATTTAAAAGAATTCTAATATCACTCTTTCATGTTTATCTTTGCCTCCGTATATTCTCTGGATGTTTTGATGCTATCTCAAATATTTAAAAAAATAGTCATAGTCCAATTCAGAACATACCGCTATAAAATATTTAAACCTCTCTCAGACTTAAAACTAATTATTATTGTGTAGAATAATATCTGTTATTTTCAAAATATTCTGAGGGTGTGGGTGTGGGTGTGGGTGGGTGTGGGTGTGGGTGTGAGTGGGTGGTGTGGGTGTGGGTGTGGGTTGGGTGTGGGTTTGGGTGTTGGTGTGAGGTGTGGATGTGGGTGTGGGCGTGGATAGGTGTGGTTTAAGAGAACGCACACACTCACACCCACGCCCACACTCACCCACACCCACCCACACCCACACCCACACCCACACCCTCAAATGATGCTCATCGTGGTACAGTTCGTGAAATTCTCACAGGCATTATTATCTCTTATTAGCTATTAAGAACACATGATTACTTTCATATGTAAGCATTTACTAATAACCAATCACTAAATATCCCATTATAAGTTCTCTACTTACAGAGAGAATTCTTTTAACACCAACCAATACTACTAATCAAGCGTATTACGCTACACATGATAAAGGTGGTGATACAGTTACAAGTTCTTATAATTCGTTCTTTATTATTCAAAAATCAATATTCAATTTCATATGTAAGTATTCATTAAAAACACAAAATTCAACATCGCATCACAACTTCTATATAGATTGAATTATTACTACATCAACAGATGGTACAAATTTAGTTCATCCTCGTGATGGTGGTACAAGGTCGTCATATTCGTACACATATTCTTATTGCTTATCTATTATTAAACATCCATTGTCATTTTCATATGTTTGTATTTACTAAAACCCAACTCATCAAAATCGCACTATAGCTTTCTATTTAGATACTCAACAATTATTATATAAACCAATGGTATAAATCAAAACAAATGAAACTCATCATGATACAAGTAGGGATATCACTATCTTTAATGTTACTCTCATCATTCAATAAAAATTCATTTTTTTTGTCATTTTTATACATGTATGTATTCAATAATAACCCCTATTCAACATGGTGTTATTCTATCTTTATTTAGAGCATCATGTAGGGTGTGGGTGTGGGTGTGGGTGTGGGTGTGGGTGTGTGGGTGTGGGTGTGGGTGTGGGTGTGGGTGGGTGTGGGTGTGGGTG